TAACAAAATGACATGTCGGTCACCGAAAACAAAGATGGCGTCTATGTCAAATTGACGTTTACTTTCCTGCGTCCCTATTGGACAACCCTTTATTACTGTGTAAGTATATCTGTAGGTTAATAATATATAATTTTTCCAATTCCTTTATTTTTCTTTTCCATTTCCTTGATAGTTCAAATAAATAATAATTACACAACCTCGTGCATTCGAATAGATAAGGTGATATAATAAGTCTTCTAAATGCTAGTCCGAAGTTCTACTTTACTTTGTTAACAATATCACTGATCGACAATATTCGAAATTGTAATCACATTGTTGATTGATTGACGGAAAAATAGCGTGTAGTGAGCTGACTCAGCAAATGTTTATTTGCAACATACAGTTAGGTGAAAATAGTAGCAATTTGATTGTAAAGCCGGTAAATGTTGTATGAGAAAGATCTACAAAAAAGAGAAGTTTGATGAGGAGGAGGTGATATGTAGCCCCGAAACCGCAAATTTAAGTTATGAACATCGGTGCGAAAAGTTATTCTATTGAATAAATATGGCGGTTGCTTAAAAATCGCATATCCAACCAGTTTGCATCAAGCAACATACGTGAAACTCTTTCAAACTTACGTATACCATAAATAAATCGTAGGCAGCACTTCTGTACACCTTCAATTCTATCTATGTCAATCTTCAATGAGTCTGGAAATTCTCTATCTAAAATACAGGAGTTTATTATATTTGTAATGTAGGGGATGGTTTTATGGGAACACAATAAGATTATTTCAAGATTTAGACCATCAGCACCCATGGCAAGCGTTTTAATTCTGAGAAGTGCATTTTTAATGACATCCTGAGAAACGGTGTGAAATTCAAAAAGAGTTTTGACGTTAGTAGGCCTATTGCTATAATATTAATCCAATGAGCTTGCTCGAGAGATCTGAAAAAAATGGTTATTTATGTCATCCGGATTATTCAGCTGGTCGGGAATACAACCTGTTTCTTTGTTGCTAATATTTAAATTTAGTAATATCGGTTCATAAAGGCTAATGTTCAGCAAAAACTTGAGCCTCTGAGAAAAAGTCAATCAAACAGGTCCGTAGTCGATAGACATTCTCTCTCTGCCCTACCGGTAGTCCATCTGGCAACGTCGCCTCTCCCCTATACATAACTGGGTCAGACGTGGCACCACCGCCACAGCATGAGAAACACTATGCTATGGCGCGGCAGTAATACCAGAACATTTACCAGGACCGGCATGCCACCGTGAGCATAAGCAGCGGGCCGCGGTCGATAGGTAAGAGATCTGTCTGCTGAGAGTGTTTTTTTAAGTTTTAAGCGCTAATGTATGGGAAATCCAGGAGGTGTGAAATATGTCTAATAATTGCCAATGTTGGGAGCGCATAAACATACTAACCTCAAAAATGAAGACATACCCTCGTCTCTGCCCTACAACCCCCACCCCCACCCCGGTCCTTGATACGTGTGCGAAGTTATAAGTTAAACTTCTGGAAATTGGTGAAAATTATGTTCAAAGATTCCATTACATATATAGAGATCAAGCTAATAAAAGCGTGTTAAAAATAAATGGTGATCAATTGCAACTCAGGAACATATCCAGTTTACCATTTACTGGACACTACGCAATTAGCCAGACCGCAACAAAATAAATCTAAAAAGCTCTTGATGTTACCTAAATAGATATTTGTAACATAACCTCAAAGTAGAGCGCTGACATGAACAATAGGAAATTATGAAAATCAAGGAGGCCATAAAGGTGTCCTACAATAATTGTAGGAACGAATGACGATACGGCCCTTAGTCCATACGTAGGCTGCTCATTTTCAGTCATAGCTTCGCGGAATTATCGGCTCTTTCATCCTTCAGATTATATTAAAACATAATATAGATTTCGTCTGTGCTAGACTAGCTACATTTCCAACGCCTTACTTGCATCAGCTGGTTTGTATTGTTACTTCCACTGTCTCACAAATAGAACGAAACTTTTAAAGCTTGCTAGCAGTTCCTAAAGCTTTTGCCTTTCGCCCTGCGTGTTTCGCATACCTTCCGGAATGTTGTTTAGGTCAACTTATTTTGAAAGTTGCACAACTTTTGAAGAGCAAAGTTTTATAGGACCAAAAATATTTTGCTCGGATATAAAAGTATTGAACGGATACCTGAAACTTTTATATAGAATGTAATGAACTCAAACGTCAATAGTAGCGGAAAGCTTGGAATAAAGAGACTGTAACATGGAGACACATTTGTGCATTTTATAAGAGAATAAGGGCAACTTACATAATGAAAGAGATGCCAAACATCTTGAAGCGTACCGAACCACCGGAACACATGGGATGTACAGCTTTCCGACAGAAACTTTATCTTGACAATGGGGGAAGCGCCGCATAGGGGTGCATAAACACACAGCAAGGGTAGGGAGACCGGGGCTAGTGGTCACAATTTTCAGTAATTCTTTTTTTTATTCGATCTGAAGCATTAAATGCACATTTTTGGTGCTTAACTAATATGGTTTATCCTTTAGAAACACTATGTAAAATCGATAAGGCTGTAAAATAATTCACAATATTAAATTAAAATGTTTCAAAATACAGAAACAAATGTGACAACTTGCCTCTTGCTGGGGCTGGATGTCACATTGCTTCGGGTTGGTTGTCACGTGTATTTCAGATCATTAATAATTTATGATATCATACTTTTAAACATATTTATTATTACAAATAAGACATAAGACATAAGTATTTGGTATTGAGATACCAAATCTTTATGAGAAAAGAGTAGAACTGTTTTTTTACAATTAGTCACTATCGCAGTTATGACATATGTAAAGTTCGCGTCCATCAGTGCACGCATCATGAGACCAACCATTACACGATGAGCATTTCACCCATTCTTCATTTGACGAGCTGTTAGAAAATGGTTTAAGACAAGTCAAGCAAAACATTCTTCTCCATCAGTTTCATTATGTGAACAGGACTTGCGTTTTTAAATTTTTTTAGAATTGTTAATTTTTTTTTATGAATCAAAAACGTCCCTTTTCACTGTTTCCCTGTTCGTCTTTTTCTTGTTCGAGCATTTATTTTTCTCTTTCTCTAATTCGTCTTTTACTGGAGGGTCAGTGAGTATTGCAGTACCTCGTTTACGATGGGAAACTCGATTCATTTTTCTTGCCGACGCCTTTGGGTAAGGTCTTAAACTTTCTGGAAATACTATATTGCTATACTACTAGTTTGATTAGCTGTTTTGCCCTCTCGTATATTATCTATTGCTTCCTGCGTGTTAATATTTATCAGACATACAGTTTCATCTTCGTTCAAGATGGCTGGATTTGGCCCAACTTCCTTTTCGTTTAAGGTTTCCGGGTTTGGTCCAGTTGTTGCTTCGTTCAAGGTACCCGGATCTGGCTTATCAGTGACAGAGCTCGCAAGAAAGTCATCATCCGTGAAAATATCTCTATTGTAAAGAAACACACCCGACTCCCGAAATCCAGACTGTATATTTTTGGGAGTAAATGCGAGGGTTTATGCAACAGAGACCACTGAAGGTATGTCGTATATAGCCATGGTCTTACCGGAATTATTTAAAACCCAAGCATCGCAGGAAGTATTTACACATTTCTTAAAAGGGCCGAAAACGTATTTTTCACATGAAAAATCTAAGAAACTCTAAGAAATGTGACTCTTTCATCCAGCCTGATGGGTTTGCTGAACCTTGTGAGCCAGGATGAGCCGAATTTAAAAAATGTGGTTTGAAATGTACCCGTGAAAAAATGAAAAAAGGAGGCCTGGAATTTCCAATAGCTGATACTGCACTTGCTAAAGCAACAAGAGTTCCTCTTTCGGATGAAACCATCGAACCAACCTGTTTGAATCCTCTTCTGGCAACAACGCGGTCGGGTCTTTGGACAGTTGTAATCCCAGGTTCGTCCATGTTCCAGATTTCGAGAGGTTCTAATTTATGTTTTTCCATAACTGAAGCTAAATTATCAAAAAATGCGTCAGGACCAGCTATTTTATGGATCTTCCAATTTTCCGGCATTTTCAAGGAATTAGCATTAGCAAATTCATATGCCAGTCCACGTACTTCCTTGGGCGATAATCCAAATTAAATATCAGATTCTTTGAGTACATCTTCCACTAGATGATTTTCGAGTCCAGGCTCAAAAACTAAATGATTTTTGATGTAGCCAACTGATATTGACGGCGCAACAACTCGATCATCAAGTATTTCAGACTCTGGAATTTTCTTACAGTATCTTGCTAAAGTACGGTAATTTACATTGAAGTCAGCTGCCGCTTTTCTTATTGAGGATCCTAATCTCACTAACATAGCAACGCTTAAAAGTACGTCAGGCGGCGCTTTGCCCTTCTCAGTCTTCCTTTTGAAACTTCGAACCATGCTTATGTAACCTGAAAATATTAAAAAAATACATTGTATAGCAAAGCTAATCGTCTAGTGTGGGGGCTGGTTGTCACATGTGACAAGAGGCCCCCGCTAATTAGAGACAACCTGCCCCACTAGATAATTAATTTTTAAGGTTAGATAGAGTCACTAAATTAACAAATTCAAAGTCAGCACTTACGACAGTGGTTCCTAACCTGGGGGTAATTACCCCCGCAGGGGTAAAACGGAGATTCTAAGGGGGTAACACGGGATGGCACGAAATAGTATTAAAATAGCAATAAACAAAATAATAGTACGGTAAACGGTAGCACGGCGCTCTCATGCGCGCGGCTGACGGTGACGGCGGCGGGTGAGCTGCGGTGTGGGAGGGGTGAAGCATGACTAGCGGCGGGCCGGACAGGCGGCGATGTTCATTTTGTTTACCTAAGCTTAGGAAGAACACGCATTTTATTTGTTCCGCCGCGCATTGCAGAAATCGTATTTTTAAACGGTTTAAATTCAAAGGTAAGCAGTGTTTGTTAATATCGTCACGTTAATATTGTCACGAGTGATTTGTTTACGTAGGTATGTATTAGTTGATTTTTGTTTTAGGTACCTACAGGTGTTTTTGACATGGCTTCTACTTCATCTGGCAAAAAGCGCACTTATAAAGAAGCATTTCTACAATGGGGTTTCACAAGCATCGTAGACAAAAATATAGAAAAGCCTCAGTGTGTTTTATGTAATAAAGTGCTTAATCCAGAAAGCATGAAACCGAGCAAATTAAAAGAACATTTTGCTAAAGTTCACAAGGAGTTCGCAGATAAAAATATAGATTTTTTTAAGAAAAAGGAGAGGATTCTGAAGTCTTCCCGCATGGATTCAACAGGCAATATACAGAAAGCAAATGAATCATGCCTTCAAGCTTCATACAAAATTGCTTATCGCATCGCACGTAATAAAAAACCACACACTATAGGAGAGGACCTCATCAAACCTTGCTTGTTAGATGCAGTAGCACTTGTTATTGGTGAGCAACATGTAGCTAAGATTAAACAAATCTCACTCTCAAACACTACTATTCAAAGTCGCATATGTGAAATGAGTGCCGATATTCTAGCAACCGTTATTTCTGAAATAAAGGAAAGTCATATGTTTGCGCTGCAGTTGGACGAGTCCACAGATGTTGCTTCGTGTTCACAATTATTGGTGTTTACACGATACATTAAAGATGATGATGTAAAGGAGGAATATTTGTTCTGCAAGTCTTTGCCCACTACTACTCGCGGCGAAGACGTATTTCAAACGCTAAAAGAGTTTATTGAGGAAAATGGCCTAGACTGGTTAAAGCTGATTGGTACTTGTACAGACGGGGCGCCTTCCATGATGGGCATCCGCTCTGGTTTTCAGGCACTCGTGAAGCAAGTTGCTCCTCAAGTTTTCGGCTATCATTGCTTGATACACCGTTACGCTTTGGCTGTGAAAACGCTTCCATCAGATTTGCTAAACACGTTGAGTGACATAGTAAAAATTGTTAATCATATTCGAGGCAGCGCTACTAACTCAAGATTATTCAAAGTTTTGTGCGATGAAGTTGGTGCTACATTTAATGCTCTTTTGTACCATACAGAGGTACGTTGGTTATCAAGAGGCAAAGTTCTAAGTAGGGTTTACGAATTACGAGAAGAAATTGGATTGTTTTTTGAAAATCAGAGAACACAAAAAGAAAAAGAATATTATGCAAAAATTAAAGACCAAACATTTATTCTAAAAATGGCGTACCTTGCTGATTTTTTCACTGAAATTAATAGTCTGAATATTTCACTGCAAGGAAATGAAACGAATATTTTGACGTTGCAGGATAAAATCGCAAGTTTTTTGCGCAAATTGGAACTTTACCAACGCAGAGTTCAAGCTGGTGATGTGTCAATGTTTACACAACTAAGTGAGCAATTAGTAAATAATAAACAAGAGAAAATCTCGTTTGAAAATTCCGTGGTTCAACATTTAACTGCCGTGATAGACTCACTGCAGCAATATTTTCCGAACATGGACAGTCGTGAGTCCTACTCCTGGATTTTAAGACCATTTTCTACTTGCGTCGATATTTTCAAGGACGAAGATGTGTCAGCGAAAGTAGAGTTTCTCGGGCTGCGTGAGAATAACTCATTGAAAGTTGATTTTCAAAATGATAAACTAAGCACATTTTGGCGAAAAGCAGCTGCAGAATATCCCATTATAGCTGACAGAGCTTTAAAAATGTTGATTCCATTTGCTACAACTTACAGATGTGAAACTGGTTTCTCAACTCTTGTTACATTAAAAACAAAAGCCAGAAACCGTCTGAATGTTGAGCATGACATGAGATGCGCGTTGAGTGAAACCGAACCTAATATTGTCAAACTTGCGAATGCAAAGCAATTTCAACCTTCACACTAGTTAACTCCAAGATTTACATATTACTTTACTTTACTAGTTACCTAAACGTGCAATTTCTTAGAATTTAGTTAGATAATAAACATATTTTCGTTCGAATTTGTGTGGTTTTAATTATTTTAAATTGGCTAGGGGTAAACTCAATTCCCATACTTGTTCACAGGGGTAGTGACATTGAAAAGGTTAGGAACCACTGACTTACGATAAGTCGTATTCGGATTATTGAAGAGCAAAATAAATTCAACAGTTCTTTTTATTATCAAATGTAGTATTGAAAACACAAATTATGTATCAAACGAAAAATTTACTCAGGTTAGGCGATTTGTTTATTTTTGTGCGTGCGACCTTAATCTACCAACGACAACTTTCGTACTGAATACAAGTGTTCGGCGCGGACGCAGAAACGATGTGTAGCGCGTCAGGCAACTACATCTTGCGGAGCTGCTGAGATTTAACAATTGTGACAACCAACCCATGTGACAACCAGCCCCGGTCTCCCCTACTCGTAGAAGTTCAACATTTGTTCAAATAGATATGTAATAAAATGAAATTTTCGACTGCAATAGAGATTCAAAACAAGTCAAGTGAATTACAGACGAAAGATGTTTTTTTAGTAAAGTTGTCCTCCTACATCGACTTGCTCTCACAAAAAAGGTTCAAAACCAGAGTGTTATTACACATTAGCTTATTAGCTTAAATAACAGATCAAAATACATACTTAAATGATGGTATTTACTTGGTGAACTGTGTAGAGGTGTTGTTTTGGTGATTTTTCAGTGTCTTTTTGACATTCCTTAACTATTTTTTTTCGCGTAGCTTCAATGAGCTTAAAGTTTTTGCGTTTATAAGAAATATAAATATTTGAAAATACAAACAATTCTCAATGGCCATTTCATAACGCTCATTTCTTGACAGATAAGATACATGTTGTCCATTGTTGCCAAGTTGTACCTTTTTTGGGAGAAATACGTAATTATAAATGAGGTTATTTACAAAATAAGAGTCTTAATTTATTGTAAATGGCTTATTTTATGAAAAGTGGTCCCAATATTTACCGGAAACTAGATGAAATTTTGAACAGTCTAAACAGTGGAAAATGCACCAGCGGCTCGGGTGACATAAAAAATACAAAAGGCACCAGCGGTCATTGCATATAAAAATACCTAACGTAATCTGAAATAAAAGAAATTACTACTTAACAATGAAGTATTTTCATCATTAAAATACCGAAAAATTGCATTGTTGCGATGAACAGTATCACAGTAACTTACAGTGTATGTTATATTCATATAATTTCGAACAATCTTTTGTATAAGCAAGAAGAAAACAGCTTATAAAGCAGTATTCTATACCACAGTATTAGCACCTAAAATGCAACTTTGACGTTCGATAAAATAGCGAGCAGAGGGTTCCTTAAAGAAAAAATGTTATTTTTGTGGAAGTTACATCCTAACCTTTCATTTTAATATAAGGAATGAAATATTTGCGATATGCGCTAAAGTATAGCTCAGTCAAAGGCCTTGTAAGCTTTCTGTTCTATAGCGCTTAAATTCTCAATTTTCTCCTGGTCACGATTCCTCTAATTATTCATACAGTTCTTATTTGATTCTTGGAGTCACAATAATCACTTCATTATAGATCAATTTAGCATTTTTCAACTCTCAATCTCATCAATACTTTCATAATGAAATCTGAATCCCTTGATCTTATACATCTCAACTAACTTACATCTCTAGTTCTTCTTCCATATTCGATGAGCTAAATCTTTGAACTAGAGTTGAATTTTTAATTGATCGTAACGAAATCAGTTCAATTTAATCCTTGATAGTTACTCATTTGGCTGGCAGAGTAACTCAACTAAGCAAGACAGTCTTTTCTTTCTGAAGTAACCTTTTTATCTTGAGACTTAATAACCGGGTGGTCTTCAACTCTCGATAATCAGTTGTTTCATTTGGTAGCCATGTAGTTTAACCCCACTTAACCCCAACCGAGTGTCAGACTTTTACTTGAGCATCTCCAGTCTGCCACTCTAGAGAACAGTGATAAGGTCATAGCTTTTGAAGATTCTTCTGATAAGTTTTTTTTTTTCAATTATTAAATATATAACCAAGTCTCAAATCAACTAAATAAGTAAATGACCTTAGTGGGCGCCGATCTTAGGAAGCCTTCTCAGCGCAAGATAGTAAATAGGTAAGTTACCTTACATCTTTTTCTCCAACCACCTGATGAATTAATATTCGTCTTACTATCGGTTTCTGATTACTCAGCTCCAAACTCTCAATAACATGAACTTTAAGTTATTGTCGGAATCCAATTCCAGTCTATCCTGGTGTTAATACTAACATCGTGATTAGCTAATTTCATCGTAGCCGACTTAGCTAATTATTTAGTGTATTTGACTAGTTAGCTAATTATGTTTCACTAACTAATAAAAGCAATTACGGTCAAACTGTTACAAGACAGATGCTGCATCTTTATCTAATGTCGCTCCATACAGTGGTCGTAGGGTCGTTCCTACAATTTGTAGAACGCCTTTATAGCCTCCTTGATTTTCGAAATCTCTCTTATTCAGAAAGGTATTTCTAGATTTCTACTGTTCCGTGACAGCGTCAGCGCTCTCCTATTGTGAAGTAATGTTTTCTTCTTGAATTGTAGGAAATTTCAGGCTGACAAAACAGATAATACAAATATAAATCAAAAGCATGAGCAGTTTGATGCCAATAGGTATCTGTGATATAACCTCAAAATAGAGCGCTGACACGGAACGGTAGAATACTATCAAAATCAAGGAAGCCATAAAGGCGTCCATGAATTGTAGGAACGAATGACGATGCAATCCTTAAGAAAGCTCCCCTCTACTTATTTTTTTAACGGTCAAGCTACGAAGCTGAAATTCTAGGCTTTGAAACTAGTGCATGCAGATAGCGCAAAAGTGGCAATTGGAAACTTAAAGATGGTGGCTTCACTTTAAAGCTCCTTATCGCTATAATTCTTGGTATGAATGTACTACTTTTCAAAATGGCGTACTGGAAGACTGTCAAAATCAAGTTTTTTTTCGTACATTGAATCGCGCATAACTCAACAACAAATGATCAAAATACTAAGATTCGTTATATCAATCTCCTTATATTGGAAGGACCTATCTGAATATGTTATGACAGATATAAAAATTATACCAGTTTTCCAGCTTACGCTTTGTGACCATCGAATGTGATAGGCCGGAGAATGCTCGTTGAACAGTAGGTATGTAAAAACAACTGACTCTACTCTGGACCCCGTATAAAGCTATTTTAGTTTCCTAGGCTCTGGGCATCCACGAATTTTCCCATTTTCGTATATTCTTCTTGGAAGTTAGCCAGTACAGTTTCCGGCATCGGCTTTCAAGCGAGACGTTTACTTTAACATACGTGTTACATAAGAACAATGTAATTAAACCCCTTTGTTTGAAATTTCCTGCTGCCTGTTCTATACGGTAAAAGACCAACAAGCCTCTGGCCATTGAAAAGCTTTGAGTCACGATTATACTCCGAGGTAGGAGGCAACGGGTGGCAAGTGGTAACCCATTAGGCTACAGGTGACGGGTGACGATCCACTTGTACTTTTCAAGTTGTGGACTGCAGGCTGCAGATCCTAGAGTCTATCGCAAATGACCGAACAAAAAGTAGAAAACAATTTCGAAATTGAGATATTATCCTTTCTGGATGTTATATGACATTTAAATCACGAAAAACAAAAAGACAAGTCGCTCAAGCTTAGGCAGCAGCAGGTAGCATATTTTCCCAGGGGGGAGATAGATCCTAGAAAGCTCCAAAATGAATCTATAAAACCACATGCTTGTTACAAATATTACTTTGTCTAAAACCACTAAAGCCGATCCAATTTTACACTGTACATTTCGAGACAATCGAGTTCTGGCCAGGCCGGCCGAGGACAGACCGTTCAAGAGACAATAACAGAGCTGCTAGCAAAAACCACGGCCAGTATCCTCGTCAATGGACAATGCTATTATGTTCCCATGGAAAGTATACATCCACGTATTTCTATCCGAATCCATGTTGTTATTCTTGGAAGGTGGCCAGTCTAGCTTCCGGCATTATCATACAAGCGATGCGCTTACTTTAAAATACGTGTTGCATAAGAACCAAGTAATCACTACCATTTTGATATAATTACCTAAAACGTTCTAGGTACATGCCTTTGGTCATTGAAATTTCACAGATATCTATCGTTGGAATTTTAGAGTCAATAACGAAATGACTTAGACAAGAAAGAAGGATTGAAGAGAGCAAAGAGGAAGAAGAGAATCGTGTAGGCTCGGAAGCGATTAGGCAAAAGGCTCTAATTTTGATTAATCTGCATTTACAAATTAATTTTTATTCCAGTACGAGCTACAGCCTTTTGTGTTTGTCTGCTTGACTATGTAGCTCACTGATTAATGTAATAGGCTGTTGCTGCCTTATACAGGGTGACCTCAAAGTTGGGGTTTTCCTTCTCAGACACAACTACGCTTGATATAACAATGCGTGGTGAAACGTGAGCGAACAAGTAAAAAAAATAAAGAAAAGTTAAATAGAAATTCTAAGTACGGCTCTGTCGTAAAATCGGTATCTACATCGTAGGCGTACGTCGTATATACCCTATTTCACGAGTATCCATCACGGTAGGATGACAGCTGATTATCTGGTAGCCTTTGTTTTTTGTACGCTATATATTCATTTTGTACTTGCTAACAACCCTTTTATTTAGAAAAGTTCATTTGCAACCCTCAACAACAAAACGCTTCAAACAAGTTTTACTAGACTTGCATCCGATTCGTTATTGCCAACGTCGCAGACTAACACAAAAATGTCATTTGCACCTCAGTAGACCTCAAAGCGTGGAATAGGGCATAACTGTACGCTTCAGGTTTGATTGAGTTTGGGGAGTTCAATATCTCGGTTCTCTCAAGATATTGGTGCGGACACCCTGTATACATCCACACGTACCAGATTTCTTATTCAAGC